ACCAGGCTGCTCCTTGGAAGCAAAGATGCTGAAGCTTTGTCTGACATACTGTGTCTGCATACTGCCAGGAGGGACCAGTCCTTGGAGAGGGACATCATGCTTCGGAGAGTAGAAGGAGAGCGCAGGAGAGGAAGACCCTCGCTGAGATGGATTGACTCAGTGACTGGGGTAATAGGACTAGGTGTGTCAGAGGTGATAAGGTTGGCTCAGGACAGAGCAGGTTCAGAGCTACTGTAAATAGCGTCACTATGCACCTCAACAGCGCATAACAAATAATGCTGTAATAATCTATGGGTGTACTTCTCTTGGATTGTGCTGCAGCTCTTACTTCTCTGGAATGAATTCTAGTACTGCGATTACTGGTTCACATTGATTCTCTGCCCAACTGTCCAAGGCGGCACCAGTTTTCTATAGGATTAGGGAGGTTCTTTCTACTGATAGGCGCCAGCTGCTGAGGCAGACGTTGTGAGTCCTGCAGCTAGCAGCACCCACCTTGTGCACAAGTCATGACCCTAAGATGTTTTTTCCAAGGTCAGGAATCTTGTTTCCATGGTTAGGGGACTTGATTTGAAGATGAAGAGGCCCTTTTTCAAGGTGAGAAATCTTGTTGCCACGGTAACCAGATTTGTTTACCGGGTAACCACACTGTTGCGATAGCAACTAAACTTTTTCTGAAGATGATGGAACTTAATTTGAAGGTGCAGAGGCTTTTTTTTCCAAATCACTTGTTGCAAGATGAAGACACAGCAGCCTGCAGGCCTTCGCAGGACGAAACGCTGCTGCTCCCTGGCCAGGAATAAGTGACCAGGACCAGCAAGGCCCTGGCTGCTGACAGGCAGCCGGCATCAGGCATCGAAGCAGAAGCTGTGAGCCCTGTTGTTGGCCCCGTCCACCTCACACTGAAGAGGTGACTCTAAGGCTTTTTTCCAAGGTGAGGAATCTTGTTTCCGTGATTAGGAGACATACTACCATGGTTAAGAGTAATTGTTTAGAAGACGATGACACTGTTTTTCAAGGTGAGAAATCTTGTAGTCACGGTTACCGGATGGGTTACCATGGTTACCCTCCTGGCTGTCATGGTTACCCTCCTGGTTGCCATGGTAACCAATTTGTTTACATAGGAGCCAGACTGTTTCCATGGCCACCAAAGTTTTTCCAAGGATAAGACTTGTTTTGAAGGTGCGGAGACATTTTTTCCAAAGTGACTAATCTTGTTGCCATGGATACAGAAGGTGGGCGGGGGTACCCCGCTTTAGTTTGCAACTTCCCTTACAAGATGAAGACACAGTAGCCAGTAGGTCTTTGCAGGAAGAAACACTGTGGGCCCTGCGGTCACCTCGCACTGAAGTGATGACCCTAGGGCTTTTTCCAGGTGAGGAACCTCGTTTCCACGGTTAGGAGACATGATGCCGTGGTTAGATTTCTTTGATGAAGAGGCTATTTTTTAAGGTGCACGATCTTGTTGCCTTAGTTACCAGACTGGCTGTCAGGGTGACCAGACTTCTTGCCATGGTAACCAGCCTTAATTCCACGGTTCATAATCTTTCCCCCATGATCACGTGACTTGTTTTGAAGGTGTCGAGGAATTTTTTTCAAAGTGACTAATCTTGCTGCCACGGATGAGAGTAAGGCAGGTTTACTTCTTTGGTTTCCAACTTCCCCTAGGGAGATGAACACACAGTAGGCAGGCAGGATTTTGCAGGACTGGACATTGCTGCTCCCTGACCAGGAACAAGCAAGGAGGACACGTGAGGCTTGGCCTGCTGACAGGATCCTGGCACTGGAGCAGATGTGGTGGTCTATCCAGCAAGCCCAGCCCACCTCCCACTTGTTCTTTAGCTCTTTCAGCTTTTGAAATGCCAAGTGTGTTCTTCACTTCTTGTTTTCTGGAGATTATCTATTTGTACATTTCATTATAATACTTTGTTTTCTTGACTTGCCCCTTACAATTTTCTATTACAACTCTTACTTCAGTATTTCCTCCTTTTGTTTTGGCCTTTATGTCCTAGTGCAAGTTATAGAATCTGTTCTGTCAACCATTTTGGTCTCTTCAGTCTTCCTTAACTTTGTAATGACTTTATGTTTTTCTCATGGATGAAGTCCTTGATGTCATCCCACAACTCACCTGGACTTTGGTCATTAGTGTTCAATGTATCAAATCTAATTTTGAGACCATTTTTAAATTCAGTTGGAATAGACTCAAGATTTACTTTAATACTGGTGGAACAAACAGTACATCAACAGGGAACTTTCAGAAACTCAAGCTGGATTCAGAAGAGGCCATAGCACATTGCTGATGTCAGATGGATCTTGGCTGAAAGCTAATAACAGAAAGGTGCTTACTTGTTGTTTATGTTTTATTGACTATGTAAAGGCATTTGACTGTGTGAATCATAACAAATTATGGGTAAAACAGAATCATGAGAATCACAGAATATATAATTGTGCTCATACAAAATCTAAAGCAGTTTTCTGAATACAATATAGTAAGATAAAAAATCAGAAAAGGTGTGCATCAGAAAAGGTGGTTATATCCTTTTTCCATACCTATCAATCTATGTGATGAGCAAATAAACTGAAAAACTAGACTATGTGAACAAGAATATGGCATCAAGTGTGAAGGAAAAATCATCAGCACCCTATGTCATGCAGAAGACACAACCCTACTGGCTTAAGTGAAGGAAACTTCCAGTGCCGATGGCAAAGTTAACAGGACAGCAAGCAATAAATGTTGGAGAAGATGTGGAGAGACTGGAACTCTCATGCACTACTAGTGGGATTGTAAAATGGTCCAACCACTTTGAAAGGAAGTTTGACTTTTCCTCAAAAATCTGATCAAAGAAATCCCATATAACCCAGCTATTCCGTAGGAATATACCCCATGGAAAACAGAACTGAGACACAAATGAAAATTTGTAAAGTGATATTCATAGCAGTGTTATTCACCATAGCAAGAAAATGAAATCAGCTCAAATGTCCATCGACAAACAAATGGATTGTGAAATTATGGTACAGTCACACAATGGAATACCATGCAGCACTAAAGGGCAGTGATTCTGAAAAATACTATATAACACAGACAAGTTGAGAGAACATTAAGCTGAGAGAACTAAGTCAAGTCTCATAATGACAAATACTGCATAAGACCATTACTGTAAAAAACGTAACTAGTAAAATATGTATAACCATCCAAAAAGGGGAAAGAAAGAGCGAATAGCAGAGGAAGAAGGGAAGAAATCATTAGATAACAATGATGGGCAGCGAAGGGGGTGGATGAAGAAATTAGGAGACGACCCAAGAGGGACCTGAAAAGACAAGGTAATAGTAGGCCTAGGACAATGTGATTAATTTCATAAAACACAATGTATAGGTGATCATTTGAAACACAATGTAAATTAAGGAATATGAGATGTAAATGATGGAATATGTGAAATTATATGTACACGAATGGTATACAATGTATATGAATTTTGTATGCAAACCAATAAACACTAAACAAAAAGTGAAGTAAATCTGAAAACACTGAGGAAAATCAAAGACTAAAGTATCCAAAATGGATCACATCTCAACAACAAAAAACCCTCACCACTGGACCAACAGGCAACATCATAATAGATGGAGAAAAGACTGAAGTTGTCAATTATTTCATTTTACTTGGATCCACAATAAACACTCACAGTAGCTGCTATCAAGAAATTAAAAGACCTGTTTCATCAGGAAAATCTGCTGTCAAGGACCTCTCCAAAGTACTAAAGAGTAAGGATTTCAGTTTACCAAGTAAGATGCACCTGATCCAAGCATGGTCTGTCTTTTCAATTGCTTTCTATGCATCTAAAAGTTGGACAATAAATAAGGATGACAGAAGACCTACTGAAGCCTGTGAGTTATGATATTACCACAAGAGCACAGAGTATCCTACAGACTGCCAAAAGAGCAAAGTCTGGCTGGGAGGAAATGCAACCAGGCTGCTCTTTAGATGGACTGACACAGTGACTATAAAAATGGCCTTGAGCGTGGTACAGGTTGAGAGGATGAAGCAGGGTAGAGAAAAGTCTTATCTGTTCAGGGGATCATTATGAAGAGCAGTGAACTCAAAGGCCCCTAATAACCACAACATACTCAAAATGGGATTATGTTAGGAGGAAAGGAAGGAAACAATGCCCTTGAAGAGAAGACTTTCCAAGGGAATCTTCTACTACAATAACAATCAGGGATGGAGAGGAGAGGATGAAAGGGAAACCACCATTACATGGACGAATACAGAATTAGGAATACTGAAGTTCCAAAGAGTGAGAACAGAAAACTAACTACTCTCTTAGAATACCCCTGGGAGATGACAGACTTTTAAGAGATACCGCTTATCCAAAGGATAAGGCCTCATCCAGGATTTCCAAGTTCCCATATAGTGCAGCAACAGCAGAGAACTCTGCCTCCAAAGGATCATCTGAACTTGCACAATTTGCCCACAGCAATGACTGTTGTAGACTGAAATGCAGAGAACTTTAAGATGTCTGGTATGTTCCAAGGCTTTGTCCCTCCAACTCTCTACAAACTTAATACTGGCTAAAATCTAGTAACAGATACTGATATTACCAAAAAGGGAATTCTGAAATGCTTTAAATCTAGCGAAATAAAGAAATGTGACTTCACTTCATGCTCCATCATATCCAATGAGTGCTTTGTAATGGTGGAAATAATGAGAGTTAAAAGTTTTTTAAAAGTTATATGAGCCCCGTGCTTGTCTAGCACTAGGCTCCGATCACCCATGGATGTAGTGCCCCCCAGGACCTTTGACACCTAGGGATCTAAGGGGGTGGAAAATAATAAATAAAATCTAAAAATTCACATTTATATCTGCATCTGACATAATTTTATTTAATTCTGTATAGTAAACAAAAAATGTTAGTGGCTCTGTACTGGACTATAGTTAAAACAAAGGTTCACAACATATAATATAGTCCGACTGATTAACAAAGTTGTCATAGAGAGCTAGTTAAGATTTACCACTCTGCATCACCAATTGCTTTTGAAAATACATAGTCTTTCCCTCCAAAACACATAACACCATCTTTCAAATAGAATTTCCACTTGTTCTTGTTTCGATGAATCTGGAGAGGAAAAAAAATCTAAATTAATTCAGATTTTTAAGTAAATTAAGTTTCATTAATTAAGTGAAAAGATTTCTATGATTCTTTGCTATGCCACATGGGATTATTCTAAGTGATTCTTTAAAACTACCATCACTTCAAGACATTTCAGTCACCCATTCCCTCAACAAATATTCTCTCAGTCACTTTGCCTCATTGTGACTGTCTGCATGTTGCCATGATGCTAGAAGCTATTCCACTGAAAATTCAAATATCAGCAGAGCTTCCAGACTAAGACAGACTCAGAAACAGGACCGCTCACCTACTTCTAAAATACGCAGCCCATGAAAATACTATGAAGAGCAGAAGAACATTGTTCAATACCATGACAGATGATGAGTCCTTCAAATTTAAATATACTCAAAAGGCTACTAGGATAGAGCTGTCTCCTCAAAGCAGAGTCTACCTTCAGTACACAGATGGAGTGAAGTTTTCACCCTGTGAAGGATCTTCACGTACTCATGTGGCAAGACTCAAAATAAAGAGAAACAGCTACAAGCATCCATTAATAACTGGAATGTGGAATGTACACAGCATGAATCTAAAGAAATTGGAAGTTGTCAGATATTAAATGGAAATATATTAAGAGCAACATCTTAGACATTACTGACCTGAGATGGAATGGTATTGGTCATCTTAATCATATAATCATATGCTGTCAATGTCAAATAAAAGGAATGGTGTCACATTCATTGTCAAAAGAGTATTTGAGGATCTATTCTGAATATAAAGGGTTGTCGGTGATAGCATAATATACACATGTAGACAAGGAAGAGCTACTAATGTAACTGTTATTCAAATACACACGCCAACCACTAAAGGCAAAGGTAAAAAATACTGAGTATCTCAACTGACTGCTATAATCTGAAATTTACTTAATTATGCAACCTAGAAGCACTCATAATAATTGGCGACTGGAATGCTGAGTAGTAAAAAAAGAATGGGTAGCTGGAAAACGGCCTAGGAAACATGAAGCCAGAGATAATCATGATGGAATTGTACAATAAGTGACTGTGAGCGACTTTTTAAGAAAAGACAAACAGCTACAGAATTTTTTACCATCACTGAGTAAAAACACCTTTTTTTAAAAGAAACCAACGGTGACTGTGGACATGAGCCACACCTTATGAAATATAAAGGAATGAGATTAACTGCCTTTGTAGTAACAGAAGACAAGCTCAAGATCAGCAGCCAAAATAAGAGTAGGGGTTTAATGTGGAACACACCATCAAATACGCATATCCAAGTACTAGCTGAAGCAGAAGAAAATGAAAATCAGTCCAGAAGAGCCAAATACAACCCTGAAATTATAAAATTTTAATTTAAAAACCATCTGCAGGATAAATTTCAAGGATTCAATCAACACCAACAATTGATGACTTAAATCATAGTAGGCCCACGTACAACAGCTCTGAACCCTGCTCTAGCCTGAGCCATTTCACTATCTCTGACACAATGTCCTAAGTAAATATTTCAAAATGGCTAAAGTGGTCCATCAACAAGGACCTGCCAGAAATTCAAGCTAACTTCAGAAGAGGCTGTGGAGCAGAGAGGATGTTGAAAGCAGAGAATACCAGAAAAATATTTATTTTGTGCTTTACCTACTACACAAAGGCATTTGACTATGGTTAATTAATCATGAGCAACAATGAGAAAAATGAGAATTCCAGAACAGTGCTCACACGAAACTCACACAAAGATCAAGATGCAATTATCTGAACAGAACAATACTGAATCGTTTAAAATAAGGAAAGGTGTACAACAAGGTTATAGTTAGTCTTTCTCCATACCTGAGGAAATCACTCAAGAAGCTGGATTACATGAAGACTGTGGATCAAGACTGGAGGAATATTCATCAACACCTTAATTATGCAAATGAAGATTTGAAGCACTGCTAAAGCAGCACAGACTACAGACTTCAATAAGGAATACACTTCAGCATCAAGAAAACCAAAATCTGCATTGCAAGGTGGACTGGGGGGTGGAGGGGCAAAGAAGGGGAGAGGAGGAAAGTGTGTAACAATGAATGAATGAAAACTCAACCTTTCTCTCAACTTTCCTTAAAAGTCACAATTTTAAAAATTTCTAAACACACACACACAGAAAACTTAAATCCTCACCACTGGACCAATAGACAACATCATGATAGTGGAGAAAAGACAGAAGTCATTAATGATTTCCTTTAACTTGAATCCACAATCAACACCCATAGCAGCAGCTGTCAAGAAATCAAAAGATGTGCTGCACTGGGAAAATCTGCTGTCAAGACGTCTTTAAAGTGCTAAAGGACTTCTTTAAAGGGTTAATAAGCAAGGATGTCCATTAAAAAAACTAAGGTGCATCTGACCCAAGCGATGGTATTTTCTATTCTTTTCTATGCATATGAAAACTGGACAACAAATAAGGACAAAGAACAACTGATGTCTTTGAATTGTGATGTAGGAGAAAATTATTGAATATCCCAGAGATTCCCTAAAGAATAACAAATCTGATTTGGAGGAAGTATAACCAGTGTGCTTCTTGGAGGTAACTATGGGAAAACTTTGTTTTATATCTTATGGGCATGTCAGGAGGCATTCCTTGAAAAATAGATATAATTCTGCACAAAGGAGAAAGTTCCTGGAAAAAAGATAAATACTATCAAAGAGATGGACGGACATAATGACTGCAACAAGGTAGAGACTGTGAGGAGGATCTGTTCATAGGCTGCTATAAGTAGCAATAAACCCAACAGCATCTAACAATAACAACATGCATCTGACTCACTTTAGTTTGCAAATATACTTGAGCTTACAGGCATAAGCACAAATATGGAATAGACAAGATTCATGTCACTGAAGAGTTAACATTTTAGCAAGGAAAAGATAACAAAAAATACTACTACCATAAATTAATGAAAAATTGTTGCTACTTTTTAAATACTGGAACCATAAATAGCGAAGTGGAGTGACAACAGCAAATAGGATGATCAGGGTAAGTATGACTCATGAGATGACAACCAAGCAAAGCTTATAATATGAAGCAGCTGTTGTTATGGGCCACTGAGTCGCGTGCAACGCATAGAGACCTTATGAACAACAGCTTCCCAAAAATGCCCTATTCCAAGCCAATCTCACTGACTCCGACACACAGACCCTCTTTACCCCAGTTGCTATATCAATCTATCTCGTCCAGGGTCTTCCTCTCCTGCTCTATCCCTCCACCATTCCGAGCATGATGTCCTTCTAAGGACCAGTTCCTCCTGACCACGTGCCCAAAGTATGTGAGAAGCTTCACAATTCTAGCCTCCAAGGAGAAGCTTGGTTTCATTCTCTCCAAGGCCGATTTATATGTTTTCTTGGCAGTTAATGGTATGTTCAAGACTCTTCTCCAGCACCACAACTCAAAGGTACTGATTCTTCTAATTGTGAATACCATGGCTGGATCAGGTGCACCTTAGTCTCTAGACTGACATCGTTGTCTCTCAGTACTCTGGAGAGGTCCCTGACAGATTTTCCCACACAGTATGTTAGGAATAACAACAGACAGATATTGACTCAAAAGCATTTCAATGAATGGATATACAAGAACAAAGGCCCTGAGGATGTATATATGCCTGGACTGTTCAAGAGCAGCAAGGAATTTAGCATGCCTAAAAAGTGAGAACGTGGTTACTATTACCAGAAATTGGGAAGCAGTATTTAATTATAAAAGAAAAAAGCAATGTTTAATTATAAAAAAATTTAATAAAGCATTCAGTAAAGTCGAAGATAAAGCTTCTAATTGGTTATATTTTGCTAACTATTGTTTGTATTCCACAAATCGGCTTTGACAGACAAAATAAAACAGGAAATCCTACCCACCTTGAGAGGTAAAAAAAAAAAATGGAATCATTGTTACCTCTGGATAAACAAGGAGTGAGTACTTAAAAGCCTTAGAAATACATGATCTAAAATTAAGGAAAAGAGAAAAATCAAACTTAGTCGTTGATTCAAAAAGAACTCCTCAAATTCACTGTCATCAGGGAAGAACCAACTCACAGCTGACCCTTCAGTGAGTTTTTGGAGACTCTAAGTTGCACGGGAGGAGATTAGCCATCTTTCTATTGAAGAATCACTGGTGGACTGAACCGCCATAGAGACTTGGCCTTTGGCAGCGCAGCTCCCTAAGGACCAGACCATCCTAGCTCCCCAGCTACTGACCACAGTCCATCAAAGGGTATTCACTGGTATTCAGGTGCAGTATGTGAAGCACAGAATAAACAAAAGGATAAATCATAAATCTCTATTTGTATTTTTTCCCTTAAAAAATAAAGTCACAATAATGTTTACAGATAAAAAAATAGTAACTCTGAGCTTGACTCCAAAATTTTCACTTGCAAAGGTCTTAAAAAGTCCCTGTAATGCAACAATATCAAGTCAATCCAAATGGTAGCCTGACCAAAATTAGGAGACAAATCATGCTGGTAGCTTTATAAAAAGATGCTTATTCTAGAAATGCAGAAATGATTCACTATTACAAATGTATTCATATAAACTCTTATCACTAGACCCAAAGAACCAAATCATATCCTCATCTGCAATAATGTTATAAAGCAGCTGAAAAAAGCTCACATATCTTAAATGTTTTTATACACTTAAAATAAGAATTAAAAAAATAAAATTTAAAAAATTAAGGACAACACACACACATACAAGCTTCTACACCTAGGCCAGCCCTAGATCCAACAACATGCTTAGCAGAGAAAAGCATAAAAGCACTCACACCAGTGTCAGGACTTACAAAAGAATGCCCATGATTCAGCAACTTACAGCCTCCAGTCAAAAGACATACAAAGCAACTGGGTAAGAGAGAAGCAGATACATAGAAAGTCAGAATGGATCAAACAAATCTGCAGATGTTATGAGTATGTCTGAAACACTGGAGATAGGGAAGAGGGAGAAAAATGTGCAACAATGCATAAATGAAAACCCAATATTTCT